AAATCTCCCCTGCAGGTACCAGGCACAGAACAAAAGCTGGATGGACAGCCAACTTTTTGAGGATTGGGTAAGAGAGCAAGACCGGAAGTTTGAACGCGAGGGTAGAAAGGTAGCCCTTGTAGTCGACAACTGCCCCGCCCACCCAGATGTTGCAGACCTCATGGCCATACATTTAGTGTTTTTACCACCAAACACTACATGCAAGACCCAACCTATGGATCAAGGTGTCATAAAGGCAACAAAGGCATATTACCGTGCGTCTGTGGTGAGAAGGTATATTGATGCAGTGGAGAAGGGTGCTCCAAATATTTCTGTTTGGATGCCATGACGATCTTAACAAGGGCATGGAACAAAGTAACGCCTGAAACAATTAAGAATTGCTTCAAAAAGGCAGGTATTTGCAGTGAGGCACAGACAATTGCCGTTAATGATCTGGACAACCCCTTTCCAGTCCTAAGCGAGGAAATACAGCCTTTGAGAGAAGCCTATCCTGAAGCTGTACCTGTGAATGTTAACGCAGACGATGTAATCGACATCAATGACGCCGTATCCACCTCGGAGTCGGGTTCGTTGACAGACGAAGAGATTCTGGCAGAATTCAGTAGTGATCAGGAGGCAATGGAAGAGGAAGAAGAAACAGATGAAGTTGAGGTCCTAGAAGAATGCCCCAAGAAACCTACGGCAAGCGAAGTCAGATCTGCAATTGATGTGCTGACTTCATACAGTCTGTTCGTGAACGGGGTTCTACTGCATATATGTTTTTTTAATTGAGGCAGTTTCTTTTCATAAGGAATCATCGTATTCTGTATGTCACGTTACTGTACAAAGAATGCTTCAGAACATTATATGACCTTTTGTTTTCTTAAATTGTAGCTTTGTTTCGTTTTGATTGTGTGATTATAAAATATCCTTTTCTGTGGCTAGCTGCACAAAGAGTTACTTCAGTTTAGTTTCCTTTATGTCATTGAAGTATATTAGGCCCTTTTTCATGCGAACATTTTTTAGTTTTAAGGAGTTGTCCCTGAAGCAAAAAGGAGTTTTGTAGGAGTCTTTCAGAGTTTTTTTTTAACAACATTGGTAAGGAGTATTCTTATCTCCAGAGCCAAGATCAGACGTAAGTCACGATTGTTAGTTGTGTTTTCTGTCGTCAGATTTGTAGTTTAGCTCGTTTCCTTAGCTTAGACAGATCATGCATTCCTTTTTAGTTTTCACCACAAGTGTTGTAACAGGTCGGCTAGCCTGATTACGTGATTCAGTCGAATAAAAGTGTGTAAGAGTCTGCTGTCCGTCCCGTACTTCACTGTGGTTGACCTGGCGGACCCAATTACGCTGCATCCCGGGTCTGCTGTGCTGGGCACGCAACACTGCATAAGCTGACCTTATTATTCAGATCTTGTGAGTTTTTAATTTTTTTTTTTATCTATTTTAATTGTTAATTTATCTGCAATTTGTATATTAAGATCTATATAATTAAAGTTGATTAAAGTAAAGTAAAAATTTTTGAAGCTTTTTAACTCTCAAGCTCTTCTCTTTTATGGTAAGTAATACATGGTCATATCATACAGACACCATGAAATTGAATTCTGCAAAATTGATGCAACCTTGTATTAGGCCAACATTCTAAAGTAAAAATAATTAATTAAATCTATTCATATAATTTTCAAGAAAAAAATGCAGCATGTTGTGTATTAGTATCTATCTGTAGCTCTTACAATAGAAAATTAATGAATTTTAAACTGTTTTCTTCCATGAAAGCAGTTTCAGATCTTCAATGCTCATCAGCACTTACACCTTCCAGAGGTTGTAAAAGACCTTGGCCCCTTGTGGTCAAACTCATGCTTTCCATTTGAGGACTACAGTGGGGATTAAAGAGAGTAATCAGATTATTATTATCATGGTCAACAAAGATCAGATGATGCTGAAATGTTTACATGTCCTGAAAATATGTAAAACTGTCAAAACGATATTTTGATGACATAAATTTCTTCCTTTTCACATAGCTATTGATACATTACTCAAGTGATGTTTGATACAATTTTGCAATGTTTCAGATTGTCACAGCAGTGTCAATAATCCAGAAGTTGCCTGAGATAGCCAGATCTACAACCCCAAGCATTTTATGAACAACTTACTAATACGTGCTACAATGCATGGTAATGACATTTGGTTAGTCATTGCTGTTTTATGTGTGTAGCAAATCTCTTTACTTTACACATTTGTTCTTACTGTAGTTGTCCAATTTGTCTGTTAGAAATGAGTTCACAAACCCGCTTTTTAGGGCTTGCTCAGATTATGTTAGGATAAGAGAACACACTGCATTACTCAGCGATGTTCCTGATCCCCGTGGTCTTACATAATAGATCGTTGTAGGTCATTTGAACGCAGAGATTGCAATGCCTGTTTTAGTATTTGAAGAGAAAACATTTGGTGGTCCGAAGGAAGAGGAAGAGAGACTTTTTACAACTCTAAGAACTTTTGATTCTCTCTATAACAATTGCCAGAATCATGTTACTTTGAATGGCCAAATTCTTTTATTTTCTTCTTTCCTTCTCGTTTAAGCAGCATCATCAAGGTTATGGCATGACACACAATGCTATCTGCCAAGCAGGATACTACATTATCAATGGTCATTCTGTAGTTTCTCACTTCATCACCAAGTGCATAATGTGCCGTTGATTATGTGGTGTCACATCAGCTCCTCCATTCACCTACACTGGAATTGATTCTTTCATTGTGCTCAAGATTGATTACGAGCACCTGCCTGGCAGCACGTGTTAATACTGATCTCCAGAAAATCTTGGATTTTACTCATTATTTCTACGCAAAATAACCCTGTTGGATGAGAAGTTTTCTCCAGTATGGCAGCCATCTATACGAGCTCCTTCCTAAGGTCTTTATCCTCCTCAATCCAAACTAACAACCATCTTGCACCAGACTTATGGCAACGCTTGACCTCCCTTGGTCTATCTAGAGTTAAGCCTACGCGTCGTGGCCTTCGTGGTGGTAACAGGAGGAGACAAGTCCTACCGAGACCCGGTACGGTGCTGGAATCTTCCATGGGACAGCCCTTCTCCAGCTATGGCAGTTTTCTAGCCGACTTCCCTGGCGAAAAGGTAAACCTCAATGGCGAGAGTAATTTACATACTGCTCCGTCTTCCACATTAAATATTCAGATTGACACCTTACAGCGTGTTGGAATAAACAACGGTTCCATTCCGGTGATCAAGCCTCGAAATCGCCTGCAGGACTGGCCTTCTGGTCCCCAGCGCGCCCCGGAGAGCTGTGGAAGGTTAGTAAGCACTAAGTCCAAGATTTGGTCACCCCTTGTGGGCTTATCTACTAGTTGCTTCAGCTTGAATTGGGTGGTCAAACGGCGAGTATTTAGGCGAAGTGTGGATGGTATATGACACCCACGACGATACAGGGAACTCCGCGTGGAAGTCGGCTGGGTCGTAGCCACGCCCACAGTGCCTCAATGTCAGGATCAGACAGTTTTTCTAGGTGCTTGAATTTGATAGAATTCTTGATGTAGAGGCCAACACCGCCGTGATGGTCTGTGGTGCGGTCACGATAGATAAATGAGTAGCCTGGGATCTGCAGCAGTGAGTCACAGATTGTCTCTCTTAACCACGTCTCGGTAAAGAACCCTAAATTAGGTTTTAGGTCCAGGACAACAGAACAAACCTCGTCAATCTTGGGTGCTAGTGACATGGTGTTAGCAAGTAGTGCACTAAGGCCAAACACTGAGTTTTCTTTCCCCTGATTCGATGGAATTGTAGGGGCAACGGTTGCAGTATGAGAACCACGGCAAGGCGAGACACACGACCAAGTAGAAAGTTGGAACTCAGACGCTATCTCTCGTCGATTGACTGGTCTCCAGTTAATGGAGATGACTGCGAGGCTAAGTTAAGCATGTTTGTTGACATAATCCAGATTGGTATGGATCACATCATGCCGGTTAAGCACTTCAAGACACACGTTAATGATGCGCCATGGATCACTGCAGAGTTTAAAAACCTTATCAAGCTGCGCCAGCAAGCGTTCAACAAGGGAGATAAGGACGCCTTCAGCCGCTACCGCAGCATCGTCAACGGCGAACGGAAATCTCTTCACGGCAAGTACTTTTCTAGCAAAGTTGACCATCTCAAGTCCACCAAGCCCTCTCAGTGGTGGAATGCTGTCAAACGGGTCGCAGGAATGGTCCCCTGCTCCAGATCAGAGTCTTTTCTTTCCAGCTCACATTTGGATAGCGATTTGAGCGAACTTGAAATAGCCAACAAAATTAACTCAGCCTTTCTTGCTCCAATGGAAAACTTTCAGCCATTAATGCCAATCGCAGCCCACGAGGATGAGCCCTATGTGTTGCTTTGAAGCAATTAAACCTGCGTAAAGCAGCCGGACCTGACTGTGTTCCTAATTGGCTCCTGCGAGAGTATGCAGAGGTTCTTGTTGAACCCGTTACGGCTATACTCAACTCCAGCTATAAAGAGCAAAAGCTGCCCTCACCGTGGAAGCTAGCTGACGTTGTACTGCTACCCAAACAGAAGCCTGTTGAAGACCTAAGTAAGCATCTGCAGCCCATTTCCCTGACCCCCACCATCTCGAAACTCACGGAAGACTTCGTTGTAGCCACTCATGTTGATCCCGCAGTACTCAAGAAGATCGACTATAATCAGTATGGCGGCATCCCCCAATCCTCCACCTCATTCGCCCTGATCTCGATGTTTCACCACTGGTCACAGGCTACAGATGGGACAGGGGCAGCTGTCAGGGTCGTGCTATTTGACTATCGAAAGGCATTTGATCTTATTGATCATACGATCCTCGTTGCCAAGATCAATGGTCTTGACATGCAATGCAGCATCAAAGCTTGGGTGACCGACTTCCTGATAAACCGGCAACAACGGGTAAAACTGTCGGCAGACTGTTTCTCTGAGTGGGGCCCAGTCCCGGCTGGGGTCCCACAGGGAACCAAACTCGGACCATGGCTCTTTCTGCTCATGATAAACGATCTCAAAGTTGACGTCCCAATGTGGAAGTACGTAGATGATACTACCATCTCTCAAACCATACCCCGGGGCTCCCTAGGTGAAGTATAACGCGTTGTTACTGCGGTAGACTCCTGGTCCCAATCCCAGCTGATGCAACTCAACGCTGACAAGTGCAAAGAGTTAATTATTGACTTTAAAGATAATCCTCATAACTTTTCTCCACTTGTAGTAGATAGCAAAGCCCTTCCCGTGATCGATTGTGCCAAAATCCTAGGTGTTACCATATCAAGTGATCTCAAATGGAACAATCACATCATAGATTGCATGAAGAAGGCAAACAAGCAGATATATTTCATTGTTCTCCTGAAAAGGGCTCGTGTACCTTGTTGATTTCTACTGTACAACAATCAGATCTGTTCTAGAATATTGCGCTCCCCTCTTCCATCACGCACTTCCCGCTTACCTCAGTGAGGATATAGAGAGAATACAGAAAAGAGTTCTTTCCATAATTCTCCCAGATATGTCATATCAGGACTGCTTGGACAGACTAGGCCTGCCAACGCTAAAAGAGAGACGCAATGATCTATGTAAACGACTCTTTGATTCAATCGCCAACAACTCGGGGCATAAACTACACAACTTACTGCCTCCAAGAAATGAACAAAGTTACTGCCTGCGACATCAGAGAACATATAGTCTACCACGCTCGCGCACAGACCGCTTTAGACAGTCCTTTGTGTATGCAATGTCCAAAGATGCCTAGCAACAAACAATGCGTAGTACTTAGCTAGTAACTATATATATTTTAATCCCATTAGATACTTATATTTTTATATCATGTACATATATTTGTGATTAGTTTTAACATTTGCCTATTTATATATTTCTCTGTGAAATATGCAATTCAGTCTAATGACTGTGATGTATTTGTGAATAAACAGTCTATCTATCTATATATCTATCCATGTATTTGGTCCATTCTACATCAAAGGACTAAAAGAGATGAAATGATGGGGCCAAATATTTACCTGCCTTTCTTCACGTGCGATACTCTTGGAAACTTTGAACTCCATGGCAACAGACTAGTTCTTGAATGCACTCAGACAATTTACCAGCCGTAGAGGAAAGTTTGTGAGCTTAGGTCCAGTCAAGGAACTAACTTTGTTGGTGCAAAGAATGAACTCTCCGCTGCACTAAAAGAACTGGACACTGCACCCCTAAAGGAATTCTTGTCTTCCCAAGACTGCAACTGGATTGACTTCAATCTTAACATGCCTCAAGCCTCACGTATGAGAGGTATTTGGCAACATCAAATATGCACTACACACTCAGTCCTACCATCCCTGCTACTGGAACATGGTAGGCAGCTTGACAATGAAGCGCTACATACGCTCATGACTGAAGCTGAATGTATTGTCAACTCCTGTCCCCTAACAATAGAGAACCTGACAGATCCCTTAGCATCAAAACCACTGACCCCAAACCACCTGCTGATACTTAAGACCCAAGTTGTGTTGCCTTTGCCTGGCAAAGTTGATTCACCGGACCAGTATTCTTGCAAAAGGTGGCAAAGAGTCTAGTACCTTGCGAACCAGCTCTGGCTGTGTTGGCAGAAAGAATACTGCGCCCTCCTCCAAAAGCGTCAGAAATGGATCACACCCAAAAGCATGAAAGTGGGAGAGGTGGTACTAGTCTGCGACAATGAATCCCCAAGAAATCAATGGCCTTTATCTGTAGCCACCAATTGAAAGTATTACCCAGTGATGACCAACTTATCCAAAAAGTGCAGATAATGACAGCCAAGGACAGAGAACAAAAGTTCTTCAAGCGACCAGTGCACAAGCTTGTTCTACTCTTAGCAAAATAGGACAATGAGAACTGACTCATATCTGTTATCTAGTTTTTATTAATACATATCATAATTCAATTTTATATCGCATTTGTTCACGTTATTAGTTTTATAGGTAAATGAAGAAACATTTAGGGAAGCAGTGTAACGACAACTGTGTGTCTTAATTAATGTATTTTTAGATGTTTTCCAGCTTTTACTGCATTTTACGTCACAATGACATTCCACTAATTTTTGCATGACCTTAGCTTGAATACTGCAAAACAATTGTGTAATTTTCCATAAGGCTCACAGAAATTTGACAGGTAACACTGGGTCCAACCAGAGAACCTCCAATGATTACTGCTTAACTCAGAACCTACTAGAGTGTTTGCCCAACACGTCCTACCAAACAGGATTGCTGTAACAGTTGACACAATAAATGTGAGCCTTTTAGTTCTTTAAGTTCACAAATCTCTCTACCATCAGAGCTGAGGCCACTACATAACAATCACTTTACATGTGCCATTGAAGTTTTGGCAAATGGACTTATTTTGATGACTTAGTGTTAATTTGCAAGAGTTTACAAGTCTCAAGTCACTACCACAGGTTTACCAAAATGGGTTTTTTTTTACAATTTATGAACTAAGAAAAAGAGCAAGCCAGGAGGTTCAAACAAGGGATCACTACATTAGTAATTCAACACCATCCCTCCATGAGACTTCGGATATTGACTCTGATTGGCAGGACACAAATGCAAGACAAGATGTTAGCCCCGACCATACAAAGGCAAGTATCAAACAGATCCAAATGTAAAAAGAAATTAGGTTTCAGAAATGAGGTTAAGACTTGCCAAGAAAGTAAACTTAGAAAAACATCTTTTACAGGCTCAAAGGTTCACAGACTACAGCCTAGGAGTGGCTCTCCTACAACCAAGCAAACACCACAATAGCAGCACCCTTGACAAATCCTGTTTACAACCCGTGGCCTACAGCTCCAAAAGCTTAACCCCCACTGAACAGCGCTATGCGCAGATAGAAAAGGAATGCCTTGCAATTGTTGAGGCTTTCAACAAATTTGACCAATGGCTACTTGAGAAATCAGACATAACTGTCCATACTGACCATCAACCACTCCAATCCATCTTCCAGAAGGATCTCGCCTCAGCTCCTAAACGCTTGCAAAAGATGATGCTTTTCCTACAGTGGTACAACTTCACGGTAGCAAACAGAAAAGGATCCTCACTACACTTAGCAGATACCCTGTCTAGAGCTCCAAGCCGAGATGAAGCCACCATGCCATCCATACCTGACACCTTCCAAGTCTTCCGCATGCATCTCACACAATTGGATCCTACCTCACCATCCCTCACAGATGACACTCGCGAGCAACTCCGCTGAGCCACTGCCTTATGCCAAGAGATGCAGTCACTGGCGCACTATATATTCCATGACTGGCCTCCCACTAAAGACCATCTACCCCAGCAACTTCAAACATTTTGGCACTTTCGAGAAGAGCTCAGTATCGCAGATGGCATACTTCTGAAAGCCACTCGGGCTATTGTCCCCCCTTTGCTATGCCCATCCATGCTGACCAAGATCCATCATTCACATCGGGGTCCTGAATACTGCCTTCGTTTTGCCAGAGATGCTGTATTCTGGCCCAACATGTCCAAGGACATTGAAGAATTCTGCCACTCCTGCTCAACTTGCGCCCAATACGGAAAGCAGGCAGCTGCCAAGCCAATGTTATCACATCCCATTCCAACTCTTCCATGGCAATTTGTCTCCCAAGACATATTTGCGTTCGGGCACAAACAGTACCTAATCACAGTGGACCACTACAGTGACTTCTACGAGTTGGACGAACTAGTCAACACCCTATCAACCACCATCATCAATCTTACTAAAGCCCACTTCGCACACCACGGGATTCCTCTTCACTGCATTACAGACAACGGCCCACAGTTTGTGTCTTGCAAATACAAGAAGTTCGCTCAGACCTTTGGCTTCGAAGACATAACGTCCTCATCCTACTGGTCTCACAGCAATGGCAAAGCTGAAGCAGCCATCAATGATGCCAAGTCTATCCTAAAAAAATATCCAGACGTCTACTTGGCACTCCTTAACATTTGAAACACTCCACCACGTGGTCATTCTTTCTCCCCGGCTCAGCGACTAATGAGCAGATGCACCCGCTCCACAAGACCACTCTCAGAAGAGCTGCTTCAACCTGAAATTCCAGATCCCCCTACAGTCTCTTCTGAAATTAATCACCGCAAGATTGCAGCCGAAACTCAGTATGACAAGCATACACAGGCTCCTCTGATGCCAATCCCACTGGGATCTCGTGTTTATGCAAAACCTCGACCATCTCAACTGGGAAGCCCTTGGATTTATGGTCAAATTATCGACGTACAACCCCCCGCTCCTACAGCATCAACACAGGCAATTTTGTGCTCCCCCGCAACCGGGCCCAGTTGTGTCCAGCTGCTCCGCCAGAACACACTCCCAAGCAACCTCTACCCCTTCCACTGATGCAGCCCTCAGTACCAGCAACTCCAGGACACAAGCCTGCACAGCCACTGCCAGCAGCACCGCTTCAGATCGAACGACCCATCACCCCACCGCCCACTCAACCACAGCAACAGGAACAGCAGATCAGCAAGACTCCAGTAGTCCATGTTAACCAACAAACTACCAGATCTGGACAGGTAGTACGCCTGCCACAAAAGTACAAGGACTTTGTTCTCTCTTAGGAGGACAATGAACAGCAAGGAACTCATGAAAGAGCAAACCTTCGTTTGCCAACAGTGTTTTTTCTTTTTTTTTTTTCGCCATTAGTTATTGCTTTTTTTTAAGAGGTGGGGGGATGTCATGTTATATCTCGTTCCTGTTATTGCGTTACTCGCATTTGATTCTTGCGTAATTCCGAGTTCCCGGATGAACTCGGCTCTGGTTTCTTAAGCAATAAAAATAGAGTATTCATCATGGACATCTTGTCTCCTTCGCACGATGCATTACAAAACAAAATTCAATATTCAAAACAAAAGCAAAGTATCAAACAGGTCTAAAAGCAGCTGTAAAGAAAATTTACATTCATTTGTGGAATTAAAGATCAGAATATGAAAGAAAACTGGTTTGAAAACACTAAGTCTCTTTTTTAAATGAGATCATCATTGGACTCAAAATGTGATGATACTAATCTGAAAAAAAAACAATGAATCAACTATATCATAAGATGAACTTGTATGTGGTAAGAAGAGAAAAATTCCTATGAATCATACAGTTAAACACTTGGCGAAGAAAGGCAAAGCGAATGGAAACATGCTTCAGATGAAACTGCTGCAACTTCAGATGTTCCTAATTCTGCCAAATATGTTGAATCTTCTGTAGATCCAAACAACAGTACCACTGCAAGAACAACTAGACAACACAATACTAAAGAATCATCTCATGAGGTTCCACAAAAAGGCAGTTATACACCTAGCATGAGAACAATGGTCCACATATTGTCAAAAAACATGTTAAAAAACTAGCCAGAGCATCTGCTGTTGAGAATGATTCTGTTTCTGATGGATTGACATGTAAAGAACAACTTCACCAACAAAAATCTTTCATTACAAATATGAAAACATTTCACAAAGCATTAAAATATAAGATATATCAGTGCTATGTCCCTAGTGAAGCTTGGCCTTTAAAATCCAAACCAAAGTCTATATTTGTTGTCATGCATGTGTATACGAAACCAATAGGTGGTCAAAGAGAATAGAAAGGGCTTGTCTTTACCTTGCCTCAAGACATATGTGGCAAAGTGTGACAAAATGTGACAAGCTATTTTAAATTTCAAAAGCAAGTTCTTCTGCAAAAACTTTACAATTTGATCAAATTCCTGTCAGGGAGTGGAAATCATGATTGTGGTCTCCAGCAGCTAGTTGATAATGATGGGGCTATTTCAAACAAAGTGGAAATTGCTGAGACACTGAACAGCTTCTTTCTCAACCAGAAAAACCACTTAAATCCCCATGACTTGCACTGTCAACCTAAGCAGGCACCCCCTCCTACGCCATATCAAGTGTCTGGAACATTAAATCTCCCACATTTATCAAAGGAAAGAGTTATAGACCTTCTCCTTTCTGTTCCACTGCATAAAGCTACCAGTGACAATGGTGTTACTGTCAAACTGCTGAGAATTGCAGCACCAGCCATCGCTGATTCCCTCTGTAAGCTAATCAATTACTGCATCAACACTCAGACATTCCCAATAAAGTGGAAAGACAGTAAGGTGACCCCCATTTACAAGGGACAAGGAAGTCAGGACGATTTGAGAAGCATATTTGTGACCACTTATATGACTTCCTTGAGGAAAATGCGTTACTCCATCACCTTTAGTCCCGATTCCACAAATTTCACTCCACCGAGACCGCCCTCATTTGACTAATCGACCAGCTGTTCCTTGACTTAGACAAAAACAGAGTATTGGGGCTTGTATTTGTTGACTACAAGAAAGCATTTGACCTCATAGACCATAATCTACCTCTAACAAAACTGAATGTCTCTGGGATATGTGGTCACGAAGTAGACTTACTATGCAACTATCTGGGTGAATGCAAACAATACGTAGTCATTGACGGATGTCACTCCTCCCAAAGAAATGTGACGGCTGGAATACCACAAGGGAGCATACTGGGCCCCATTATGTTTCTCCTGTTCATCAACGACCTACCCTTAATTGACATCTATGCGGATGACACCACTCTCAGTTTCTCATCTGACGTGACAGATGGACTTCTTGGCATCACATCAGCTCTTCAACAAGACCTAGATGACCTTTCGCAGAGGTTGGCCGCCAACAAGATGGTCACAAATGCTGCCAAGAAGAAATGTCTCTTAGAGACTAGGAGACGCCTTACAAATAAGATTGTTGATAGTTCTTTAGATCCTCATCTTAGGAACTCAAATATAGAGCAGGTGGATAGTCAGAAACACTGGGTAAAATGCCAAATTTTAGTGTCATTTGAGTAAAATTAAACAACTATTAGATCCAAAGACAAATTTAAGCCATGTTTACTAACTTAAACATGACTTTAAAATGTACATTTGTTTCAGCAAGGTTTAAGCATTCTTAAATCACAGCATCAAATCTCAAATTTATGCATTCGTAAAGATACCATAAAGAAAGCCTAAAGATCTACTTTACGCTTCTTTACGAACTTTACAAATTCGTAAAGAACGAATTCTATACGCATTGTAAACGATCATGCGTAAAGAATCCGAAACGCTATCTTTACTTGCATTGTAAAAAGTCGTAAAGATGTCTTTTATGACATTTTACGACCAAATTGTAAAAAGTCGTAAAGAAGTTAAAGAGGTCGTTTACGACATTTTACGACCACTGTAAAGCTAACCGAAAGGCAGTATATACGTCCAAAGCATTGTTAACATTTCTACGGCATTATTCATTGAATATTCCTTAATTGTGTAAATTTCCTTTCTGTTAACCGGGTATATGTGTAGAAAGATGAGTTCGTATAAAACTTCATCTTTACGTGCGTTTACGAAAGTTTACGACTGCTGTAAAGTGAACAGAACGACGATCTTTATGTGTTATGAAACGTCATAAATTGGGCGAAAAAAACAATTTATATAACATGACCCTGGCCATGAATGACTGCCCCAAAGAAAACAATGTAACGCAATGTTATTTTCCAATTCACTTTGTGTTTTTCTCACATAAGATACATATATCAAAAACGCAGGGTTAGACGTTGCCTGATGCAGGATAAATACAGTAGCAATTTTGGGATAAATTTTACTAATTTTAAATATCCATCCCATGTAAGATATTATTTTTACTGTTCACAGTTACCAGATAGAGATGATGAAATGGATGAATCAAGTGATCAAGAAGAGCCTGAATTTTGGGAAGATGTCTTGATGGAAGATCTACTCTGTGATGTTGAAAGTAGAGCCCCATGTCCAGAGCCTTCTCGAAAGCAGACCAGAACCCAGAAGTTAACTGCATTAGTACAGTGGCTTGTTTATTTTATTCTGATGTAGCAGTCACTATGTAAACTCAGTGACAATGGGTTGGAATGGCTTCTACAGTTTCTTTTCCAGTTTTTTAAAGTGCTTTCTGATTTGTCTGGCTGTGAATACCTTGAAGGGCTGGTGACTATACTTCCCTCATCACTGTACCTTCTTTGCAAGTTTGCAAGTTTTGACCGTGACAACTTTGGCAAATATGCTGTTTGCTCCAAGTGCAGTAAACTTTATGACATGAAAGACTGTACAGAATTCGACCATTGAGGGAAAAGGGTTGGGAGGCATTGCAAACACAAGGCATACTCAAGAAGTGCCCCTTGCGAGGCACCTTTAGCCAGAAAGGTCTTTCTGAGCAATGGAGCTGAGGAATTTTATCCTCTGAAAGTTCACTGTTTCAACAGTGTTAAAGAGAAGCTTCAAGAAATGGTAATGAGAGATAACTTCCCACAATTGGATTGTTGATGGACAAGTTCGCCGAAAGAATTTCAATCTGTTGATGGCGAGCCATTCCTCAGTGCTCTCAGAAATTATATGTTCAATGATGCTGAACTTTGATTTTTTTCGGCCTGTTAAGCACAGGAATGATTATTCTGTTGGAGTGCTGTACCCAGCAAATCTTAACCTGCCAAGAAATATGCACTTTAAGTGGGAGAACATCATAGTAGTTGGCATAATCCCTGGATTGGATAAAGAACCGAGGAGCCTTAATGAGTTTCTAGCGCCACTTGTGAAGGAAATGAAAGTTCTTTGGAAAGGAGCCTTAAATACAGCATTAAATTTATCATAATATTTATGCTGTCTTTAAGGACCTTCAACACACATCAAACCTTTTGGCTTACACTAAGTCTACTTTATCGACATAACCTTTCACCAGAACCAGGAACCATCAATGAATTAATCATAGATTAATATTATGCATTTAGTAAAGCCACAATATTTTACGCTATTGATTTTAGTGCTTTTTCAATTCTTTGGTTTATGAAATTGTGCTTGTTGATTTTTAACCTGAGACTTGATTTCTTGTGTTGGAAACCGTTTCACTTAAGAGAGGTGGTTGCACAGGAAAATTTGACTAACGTGAGCAAATAGGGTATGTTTATTCAAAACTATATAATTTTGGTATATAACAAACCAGTGGATGGTGTTTTTCACATGCTCTGGTTGACTACTCAAACTCAGGATAGTAAATGCATGTGCTATCCACCTCCCAGCTCAAGCTGAATTATGAAAAGCATTTTTTTGCAGTGTTCAGAGAGATGATAAGTTAATACTTCTTTTATCTAACTGGTTCTGTAAATACTTCACAGCTTATTAAATATCCACCACTAGCCACCGCTACTACAGGGAATAATATTTATTGTTAAATATATTAAAAACAACAACAACATGTGAATGTAGATTGATGTCATTAACTAAATAGTGACTGAATTGTTGCTTTTTGTTCCATTAGAAACTGGAAAGACGTCAGTCATCCTATGAGATACTACAAGCTTCTATGACACCAAAAGAAAAACAGTGGTATAGTGAGATCTTTTACATTGATTACATGAGCAGTGAAGAATCAGATTACAAAGAGCAAGAAGATTTCATTACTGGTGAAAAAGAAAAGAAACTTGCAGGATATGTAACCAAGAGGCTATCGTGGGAAAGAATGAGCTTGACAAATGCAAAAGCTAGGCTTGGAGAATAGAATAATTTGACCTCCCATGCCAGGGCAATGGCTAAGCCAAGGAGTGTTGGTGGCATGTTGGAGAGGCCTGCACCTCTTTTTTACTTTTTACAGAACACATGTACAGGCCATTACTTTTTATCATATTTTAATTAACTTATTTATTTATTTATTTATTATGTTTTTAATGGCAAACTGAAGTAATAGTTTCTTCCAATTATGGTTAAATTTATTGACTTATGATGAGGAAAATTTTTCCTGTTGTACTGAAGAAGAATTTTAGTACAGGGGAACTTAACTTAAAACAGAACCCATCAGAAGCCAATCTTACACTTAGTGATTTGAGAGAAATGTTACCCTCTCACTCACATGACTCTCTAATATCAAAACTTATGTGTTATGCAAAAAGTGTTTCAGGAACAAATGCATACTGGAATCATGTCAAAGATGATTTAAAGTCAATCATAACTCAAATTCAGGACCTCCAACAATTTTCTGGACTTTGTCGTGTGCTGACTTTCACTGGCCAGAATTTCAGGAACTCCTCAACAGTAACACTGAGACCTCAAATTCTGAACGAAGAGAAATTGTCATAAACAATCCACACATGCTTGATTGGCCGTTTACTGAATGCAAAGAACAGTTTGTTAAGTATTATTTCTCCCCCACGATCCAAATCTATTCATTGAAGCAAGCCTCCGTGGTTGAATGGCAAACTCAAGAACCTGATCAAACGACGCCAATGTGCCCTTGCAAAAGGAAATATGGATACCTTTCGAATGCTCAGAAATTGCGTGAATCGTGAGCATAAGATCTGCCAGGCAAAGTACTACCAAGCAAAGGTTAGCCATTTGAGGGAGTGTAAGCCATCCGTGTGGTGGAAAGAGGTGAAAAAGCTCAGCAGCATGTCACCTGCCTCAGAAACGCGGGCCAACACCAGCAAATTACTGCAACAACTAGGTTTCTCACCAGGTGTTCTGGCAAATTACATCAATTCAGCGTTCCTGACCCCAATGCAGATTTTTGAGCCTCTTACCCACAATCCTTTTGACCCACCACAAACCAACAACGAAGGTCATGCCGTAAATATGATATCGGAGTTTTCAACTTTTATGAAACTATCTGCGCTCAACCCCTCGAAAGCACATGGACCAGACGGTATTCTGGCATGGTTATTAAAGGATAACGCTGATCTCTTGGCGGGTCCAGTCTCTGCAATCCTCAACTCCTCGTTCCACGAATCCCGCCTTCCGCCTTCTTGGAAAGAGGTTGACGTTGTCCCGGTGCCAAAACAAAGGCCTATTAATGCCATTAACAAGCACCTCCGTCCGATTTCCTTCACGCCTATCCTGTCTAAGCTCGCTGAAGATCACATTGTTGAGAAATATGTTAAACCTGCTGTGTTACAAAGAATCGACCCTCGACAATTTGGAACTATTCCTAAATCATCTACTACACATGCCTTGGTCAATATGACGCATAATTGGCTTGTTAACACTGACGGAAATGGTGCCACAGCAAGAGTAGTCCTACTCGATTTCCGTAGGCCTTTGACCGTATCGATCACAGTGTTCTTTTTCAAAAACTAACAACATATGATATTCCGAGTCAAGTCAAAGGTTGGATTGTTGACTTCTTGATGGACCGGAAACAAAGAGTTAAACTTGCTCAGGATTGTCACTCTGAATGGTGCTCTGTGCCATCCGGTGTCCCCCAGGGAACAAAACTGGGCCCCTGGTTATTTCTTGTCATGATTAATGACTTGGACACACCAGTTGACATGTGGAAATACATGGATGATACATCTTGTTCCGAAATAGTTACAAAGGGTAATAAGAGCAAACTCCAAGAAGCTGTGGATGACCTTTCAAGACAAGCGAGTCTCGATGGGTTCCAACTGAATGAGGCCAAGTGCAAAGAACTTCGAATTGGTTTTTCCAACAGCAACCACGATTTCAAACCCCTAGTTCTAAATGGCAAACCCCTTGAATTAGTCACCAGTGCCAAATTGCTAGGTGTGACCATTAGCCATGATTTAAAGTGGAACATGCACACCTCTGAACTAATTAGAAAATGTTCCTCTCGTCTCTACTTTTTACTTCAACTCAAGAGATCTGGAGTGGCACCAAGTGAACTGGTGAAATTCTATGTGACATGTATTAGGCCCGTCCTGGAATATGCAAGTCCTGTATTCCATCGTTCTCTACCAAACTACATCAGTGAAGATTTGGAACGGATCCAAAGAAGGGCATTCAGAATCATCTATCCTGACCTTTCATATAGTGTAGCACTAGAAACAGTTGGCCTACTGAAACTTCATGAGAGGAGAGAAAAGATTTCAATCGATCTGTTTGACGAGATCGTCTGTAACCCCACCCACAATCTCCATAGCCTCCTCCCCCAAAGGAAGAGTTGTAAATATGCACTGAGATGCAAAAGTGATTTCACTCTCCCCATATGTAAAACCGAGCGTTTGAAGAACAGTTTTATTTTTAGCCATGTCTATAAGATGTAGAAAATTTTTCTTATTCTCTCTTTTGTTACTTATGAGATAATTAGAGGCCACTTTTTGTTGTGTTATGTTACAATTACACGTGATCACTAGAGGCTAGATACAGCATGAACAATTGACAATAAGACATTGATTGAGAGTCACGTGATTAGTTCTGTTGAGATCTTGTAGAGTCTTATGCTAGAATAAAGAAATCAAATCGAGTTATCTGGTGACTCCTTCTAGCAGTTTGCGGATAACTTAACATGGTGTCAGTGGCCTCAAGATAAATTAAAAGACACTAAAGACAGTCAAGACGACCAACGATGCCTGATACGCTCGCCCAAGCACCAGCGCCTCAACAAGCGCCAGTCATTATGCAATCGTCCTCCATTCAACCGCCTGCACCTTTAAGCTTCAGTGGCGATTCTATCACATGACCGGAGGCATGGAGAGCCCATGAGATAGCACAGCGCA